TCGGCGTTACGTGCGAGCTCCTGCACGACATGGTTGAACTGGGCAAGCAGACGCTGAGCATTACCAGTGGGGAGGACTGCGTCGTCGTAGCGGAATTCAACGCTAACGTCGCTTGCCTCTAAGCTCATAGTGCACTCGACTGTTAAGGCGTACCCGTCAAAGGCGTTCGTAGAGGTAGCGCTCCGCTCGAAATCGGCATAAGGGATAGGGTTTGCTGACTCGCTCTCGTCCGCTGGCTGAACTACGAAGCTGTGACCCGGGTCGAACTCTGGTCCAAGATTGGGAACCATACGCCGAATGTTCTGAAGGCCGGTATGCTCGTAAGGAACCATCTCCGTAGCTCGCTTCTGTACGTCGGCGAGAAAGTCGCGCACTGATCGATCGCGCATAGCGCAGACACGGAAGGGCACCGACGTAATAGTCGGAGCTACGAGATCCGTAATGCCTTCTATAGTCGCCATACGCCCCGAAAGTACAACACTAATGACAGCCTCATTAGCACCAGTAGAGGCGGCAACCAACAGGGCCCAAGCGGTCCGTAGCATTGTAGAAGTCGTTACCCCTTCTGCTACCTGCGGAACCTTGAGTTGGCACTGGATCATGCTACTCGGGCTCACATTGTGTTGCGCCGACGGCAGCGATGGAAATCGCGCCCAGGTAGCATCCTGAAGGTGCTTCTGCCAAAACGCTTTCGTCTGTTCCATGTCCTGCCGAGCTAAGTACCCCATGAAACGCGAGACTGGCACCTGAGTCGAAAGTGGCTCGCCCGTTAAGAGTCGTCCTAATAGTTCCGGCATTTTTGCTAAGCTCCAGCCGTCATAGACACTGTGATGTGCGGTCCAGACAAAGTATCGACGGGCTCTATTCGAGCTCTCTACTAAAGCTGTTCGACTAAGCATAGCGCCATAGGTAATAGGCGTAGCTCGATCTTCACGAAGGTAGTCGTCGAGCGACGTTGCACTTGCCCAAGCTGAAGACTCCCGAACCACGACCTGCAGCGC